ACTGTAATCTAAGCTGCTGGGGAAGCTGAGGCAGGAAGATCACAAGTTTCAAGATCTGCCTGAGATACAGAATGAGTTCCACACTGGCCTGGGCCACCTAGTAAGACCTCATTTCAAAAGAAAAAGTGAAAGAGGGTTGGGGGTATAACTCAGTGTTAGAGTGCTTGCCTAGCATGCATAACACCCCAGGCTCAGTCACCATTTCAGGGAGTAAAAAGGAACAAAGATCATAGTAAAACGAGTAATTAAAGAGTGGTCAATTATGAGACTTCATTGCCTTTGTAAAATACTTTTTCTTACTTTTATTTCTTATGTATGAGTGTATTGCCTGCATGTATGTAAGTGTACCTGTGTCATGCAATGGCCACAGAGGTCAGAAGAGAGTGCCATATACCCTGGAACTGGAGTAAAGAGCAGTTGTTAGCCACCATGTGGATGCTGGGAATTGAACCTTAGGTCTTCTGCAAGAGCAGCCAGTGCTCTTAACCACTGAGCCATCTCTCCAGTCCCTACCTTTTTTAAAAAATATAATTTATTTAATTGTAATTTAAGTTTTAGCTATAGCTATGTTGGGCAACTGGCTTGTAAAATTCCTAAAATTTTAACCAGCTCTAACACAGCACTGTGTTATCTCCTTCTAAATTAGAAAGAGGTGCCTTCCACATGGGCATTGCTCTGTATAGGGTGCACAGCTCAGCCAGGGGACTTCAGGCTGAGAATAAAATCCCATTTACTTACTCTATGTAGCACACACCCTAAACAACTACTCCTTGGGAGAGTGGACAAAAGGATTCTACATTGCTGCTGCATATCAAATCCTCTGCAGGGCTGGAAATGTTCTTTTCTTGACGGCCTAGGATGCAGCCACTAGTCTACTGAGCATTTCAGTTGTGGTTAGGGAAACTGAGATGCTAAGTAGATGTGTACAGGTGTGTTACTCTCTATGTACAGTTGTCCCTTGGTATCCACAAGGGAGTGGTTCCAGAGCCCCACCCTCATACCAAAACTGGGATGCTGACGTGTACATATGCATAGTATTTGTATACAACTTATGCACAACTTCCAGCAAACTTAAGTCATCTCTAAATTGCTTCTAGTATCTAATACAATGTAAATACTATGTCAACATTTGTTATACTATATTGTGTAGGGATTAATAATAGGAAGAAAGACCATACATTTTTAATAGAGACAAAATATCCACTGTAAATTTTCAGCTCATGGTGATTGAATCCACGAATGTAGAACTCGTAAACATGGAAGGTAACTTTGTTATTATTATTATTATTATTATCATTGTTGTTTTGCTTTTTTGTGTTGGTATATGTATGCATGTACGTGTGTACATTCATGTGTGTGAATTTCAGGCATGCACATACCTCAGCAAGCACGTGGAGGTCAGAGGACAACATCTGGTGTTAGCCCTTGCCTTCCACTTTGTTTGAGACAGGGTCTCTTCACAGCTCTATAACCAGACTGACTGGCCTGTGAGCTTCTGGGGTGTCTCCTGTCTCTGTCTCCCATCTCACCACAGGAAGGCTAGGATTATAGACACTTGCACTGCCATGCTGGGCTCTATGTGGATTCTGGGGATTCAAAATAGTCCTCATACTTGTTAAGCAAGCACTCTTGCCCAGTGAGCCATCTTGCCTGCCCCAGGATTTTAATTATTTTTATTATATTTTTAGTTGGTATAGAAAACAACTGGTTTTATTATCACATTTTCATACATGTATCTCATTGTACTTTGCTTATATTTGATTAAGGCCAAACTTATATAGTAGCTATGTACATACTCATATATAACATAAGATTTATCCTCAACCATTTAAAAAAAACTGTTTATTTTATTTTTATTTCATGTGTATGCGTGTATTGCTCTGCATGTAGGTAAGTGTACCCGTGTCGTGCAATGCCCGTGGAAGACAGAAGAGGATGTCAGATCCCCTGGACCTGGAGTTACAGACAGTTGTTAGCTGTTATGTGGGTGCTGGGATTTGAACCTGGGTCTTCTGCAAGAACAGCCAGTGTCCTTAACCTCTGAGCCATCTCTCCAGCCCCTGTTTATTTTTATGTGTGTTGAGTGTCTTGCCTACATGTATGTAAGTGTACCATGTACATGCAATGCCCACAGAGGTCGGAAGAGGGCCTGGGACTGGAGTTATGGATGGTTGTTATCATGTGGATATTGGGAACTGAACCCAGGTCCTCTGCAAGAGCAGCCAGTGCTCTTAACCACTGAGCCATCTCTTCAACCCCAACCTGAAATTTTTTATATCACCCTGGGTATACTGGTATATAAAATAGGTTTACAAGTCATTTACTGATCATAAATCATAAATAAAATTATTTTAAACAATTCATACATTTATTATTACCATGTATAACATGCATGTAATTTTATAATTTGTTAAAGATGGAATGTGTTTGTTCATTTTTACGTGAATAATTATGTTGGCTGAATGTTTGATACTGTAGGACACAGAGCATCCTAATGCATTTTGGAGTTAATGTTTTGATTTTTTTTTTTTTTTTTGAGAAAGGGTCTCCCTGTAGCCCCAGCTGGCCTGGAACTCACTATGTAGACCAGGCTGGCCTTGAACTCACGGAGATCTGCCTACTTCTGCCTCCCGAGTGCTGGGACTAAAGGTGTGTGCCACCATGTCCAGCTTACTGTTTTGATTTTATAATCATCAGAGCTAAGAATGCTACTTCACACAGTTGTGTAGAACAAAATGGCAGAAGCATGGTTAATACCATATTAGAAATTGTTGGAAATTCTGTCTTGCTATCAAGCTAAAACTCACTGAATGATTTTTTTAAGATTTAATTTTTATTGAATTTTTAAAAAATTCATACATCTTGATCATATTTAGACCCCTCTCCTATCTGCACCTCCCATACTCCCTACAGATTTCATGCATTCTATCACATATGTTAAGGCCCATAGAGCCAAGTTTGTGCCCCTAAATTTCCCTCAGTATGAGTCTAGCCACTGGAGCCTGGTCAACATACTAGCATCATATCCTTAAAGAAAACCAACTCTCCCCCTCCTAGTAATCATGGGTTGCCAATAGTTTCTCAGCTAAGGTTGGGGCTTCTTACCCATTTCCCCACTTCTTTGTTGAGTTTATGTCTGGTTTGAGCTTGCATAGTTCTTGTACACGCTGACACCATTGCTGTAAGTTCATGTGAGCAAGTTCCCAGCTGTCTGGAAAACTCTGTTTCCTTCTGGTCATCCACCACCCCTGGCTCTTACAATCTTTCCATGCCGTCTTCCACAATGGTCTCTGAGCCTTGGATAGCAGAGGTTTGACATAAATGTCCTATCCAGGGACAAGTACTCTGCAGTCTCTTATTCTCTGTACTTTGGCCAGTTGTGACTTTCTGAGTTAATCACCATCTATTGCATGAGGAAGCTTTGCTGGTGAGAGCTGAGAGACGCATTCATATTATTTCTGCCTCCTGTTCTGCTCTATTCCCTGAGTCTTAGGTGTGGAGGTTGCATTGTAGATGTGTCACTTAGGGCTGGGTATCTCACAGGCACTTATTCTTTGAGTCGACCAGTTGTGGAACTCTGTAATAGTCTCCGTCTCTTGCAAAAGAAGCTTTATTGATGAGTGGTGAGAGATACACTTCTCTGTAAATATAAGTAATACAGTTAAAAAAATTGCTTTGGTCTAGGGATGTGACAAAAATAGGCTTTTATCTAGCTAGGATTTATGACTGCTCCAGCCATGTGTATTTGGCTATGTTTACAGCACCCACACGAGCTCCCTCCTACTGAATGAGCCTTAAGCCCAATTACACAGCTGTTGATTACCCCTAACATAAAAGTACCACTACTGTACCATTTGGTGTTCTGAGTGTTTCATGTATCTTTATGGATACAGAGGTGCAAAGGGGTCCTGCGTCCATTCTCAGTATGAGCATACTTGATTTGCCCAATGCCTTTCTCTCATTCTTCTGAAAGACTCCTTCCATGGGTGTGGCCTGTGGAAAGGGGCTTCACTAAGTAGCCCTGCTACTGCGGAAGAAGAAAGTAGTGTTTCTGTAGCTGCCCTTGCTTGGGAATGGGGTGGAGGAGAGAAAGCTTTCTGAGTGATCATGGGGCAGCATCCTATCTTTTTATGTCTTTGGCAGTGAAGGGTAGTGGTGATGGTGGTGGTGGTGGTGGTGATGGTACTGGGGATTAAACCTCTAGCCTTATGTATACTAGGCAGGCACACTGCCTCTGAGCTATATCCCCTATTTTTTACTTTTCCTTTTAAGACAGGGACTTAAAATTGCCTAAGCTGTTCTTTAACTACTCTGTAGCCCAAAGAGCACTTGACCTTGTAATTCTCCTGTCTCAGTCTCCCAGAGAGCTGGGATTGTAGGGATGCCCACATAAGGCCTGGCAGGTTATGGAGCCTTTGCTTGGGGCCACCCCAACTCTCTCAAGTCTTTCATTCTGCATTTTCCAGAGGAACTGGGATTAGTATAGAGCAGAGCCTTGATCTAAATGTCCCCTGTGGTGATGAGCATCTTTGGGATTCCCTGTGGCTACATCTAGAATGAACATGGCAGTCTGAATGCTTGGACTCCAAAGTGCAGTAAACAGCATGAGCTTTGCTCTGGGCAGATCTGAGTTTAAACCTAGACTGTCTCTTACTAATTACATAACCTGGGAGAAGGCCTTTAATCCCGCTAAGTTTCTGATTCATTGTCCAAAAGAGGGGATTTCAACGTTATCATGAGGATGAACTTAGACAACAGTCCTGTGTAGTATGCTTTCAGTAAATGTTAAAGTACAGTAACAATTACATCTTTTTAAATTGGCTAGCCAGATGATTTCCACATTTCTTCGGAAGGCTGGAATCAAACGTGTCCTTCTTGAGAACATAGGGCAGGTCTTGGGGTGGTGGCGGATTTTCTTTGAGATCAGGAAGGACCGCAGGGGCCCTAGACAAGCCAGGCCAGCCTCCTATAGAGGCTCTTATCTCTCCCATTTGTTCCAGCACAAGCGGAAGACCCTTTCTTCTCTATGTGGGCCTGGCCCACATGCACGTGCCTTTATCTGCAACTCCACCATTGGCAAATCCACAGAGCCAAACGCCATACCAGGCAGGTCTCCAGGAGATGGACTGTCTGGTAGGGAAGATCAAGGACAAAGTTGACCACACAGCAAAAGAAAACACACTCCTCTGGTTTATAGGTAAAGTGGTTATACCCAGCCAGCCAGGCTGGGCTCTAATGGACAGCCCTGCAGTGCTCTGTCAAGAGCAGAACCTGGTCAAGTGATATCTTTCATGGGGAAGGGGATGGCTGTGAACTTGGGGCCTGATGAGCTGTTGGACTGAATGCTGAGCATGTATCTTTTGGTTTCTCCACAAGTGAGTCGCTAGAAAGGGGCTGACAGAATGTGTACCTTCCTGGGCCCAGAGATGCTGACTAGAGCTCTCTGGTTATTACTCTTACTTGCTAATGAATGACTCTGACATCGTGAACGTGTGTAATCCCAAGAATGCTTCACCATCCTCCCTGGTCTCAAAGACTCTAGCTGCTACTGATCATCAGATCATATCTTTAGTCAGGTATCTCTGGAGGAACTGAGTCAGTGAGTCCTTTAAAGGGCTCACACATAACCAGTCATGATAGTGATTCTAGCACTCAGAGGCTAAGACAGGAGGATGTCCAGTTCAAGACCAGGGTGGGCTATATAGTGAGTTTGAGGCCAGGCTGGACTCTGTCTCAAAAAATCAAAAGAGGTGTGTGGGGCACTTATTTTATGTCTCAGGTCTCTGTGGAGAAATGTCAGAGGTTGGGGGGCGGTCAAGTTGAGACCGAGATTTGAATATAGGCTATTGGGAGAGTTTTCTGAATTCTCTAAGCATTGAAGAGTTGAGCTATAGTAGAATCTATTCCACAGCCTGTGGGAAGAGCGTAAGATGCTGCATGTGAAACCCTCTTTGCATCGTGGCTACTCAGTGAAAAGTTGCAGGTCTGACGCTGATGACGGTAGCAATGGGGTTGCTAAGACTATATTCAAAAGGCACTAGCGTGTGCGAGCAGAGGCTCAGAACGGGGGTCTCTGTGCCAGGGCAAACCCCTCTGGGACCTGAGTAGATACAGGCTCATGTCAAAGGCATTTTGTCGTTCTTGTTTTGTTTTTTGAGGCGTAGTTTTAGCTAGGCTGGTGGTACACATCTGTTATCCCAGCTCTTGGGAGGCAAGGGCAGGAAGATCAGGGCTACACAGGGAGAGCCTGTCTGAAAGAGAGGAGAGGAGAGGGAGGGCCTTGCTATGTAGTACAGGCAGATGACACTGCTGCCTCAGCCATCTGAGTGCTGGGATTATAGGCATGCACCACCATGCCTGGCAGGGGGACTTTAAGAGTAGGGCTCATGTTTGCTTTTAGAAGTCTTTCTACCCAAACTCAACTGTGTATAACATTATGGAGCCAGAGAGAGAGTCATCAAAAGTGTCCCCCAGAGACCCATTGACCATTACCTATTGATTTTTTTTTTTTTTTTTTTTTTTTTTTTTTTTTTTTTATTTTTGTTTTTTTTTTTTTTTTTTTTTTTTTGGTTTCTAGGAGACAACGGCCCATGGGCTCAGAAGTGTGAGCTGGCAGGCAGCGTGGGTCCCTTTACTGGATCATGGCAAACCCATCAAGGTATTATAGAAGCTCATTCAGTGTGAATAGATCCTACTTGGGGAGCTGAGCATTGGTTGGGTGTGGGATTCTGCCTTGAGGATAGCTGCCTCCTTGTAACCTGGCCTTAGGGATACTATTATAAAGTATGGACACAGTGACTCACCAGCCACCCACTCTCAAAGAGGAAGAAACGAGCTGAGATGAGGAAAGATGTGTTCAGTTTGGACCATCTCTTCCTCTTCCTTTCACCCTATTCTTCCCTAAGGGGACCAGTCTTCATTCTGGAAAACAAGTCCACAAACCTTTCAACCAACACGCTTTGTCTTAATTTCATCAGGCTACCCTCACCGTCATTTCCTTCGTCCAACCATTCATTCGTGAGAACCATTCAGGAAATACTAGTGTATTCTGCAAGGCTTTTATATATTTTGTCTCTAGCCCCTGTAACAATGAAAGGTAAGTAGCAAAAGCTTCATTTATAGGGGAAAAGAGCCTCAAAGGCAGTAAGTTGCCTGCCCAAGGTCACATAGTTTGTGAGACAGAACTAGCCTTGTGACTGCAGTTGAAGTTTGTGCTTTCCCAATATACCATATGACCTTCCATGGCTGTCCCTGGCTCTGTTGAAACATCCTTCCTTCTGAAGCTCGGCTCCCATCTGCTCTGGAATAGTTCCCCACAAGGCCTTCACTTCTGAGAGAACAACCATGCTGGGGACAGTATGGAGTATGAACCAAAGGTTTGAAAAGTTCCAGATGTCTTGATGCACACATTCTGCCTCTGAGCACTTGTTTTAGGGAGATAATGATCCAGGTACACAGTGCACATAGAGGATGTTCTTTACAGTCCGTTAATGAAATAGTTGGGCCACAACTCAAGTATTCAGTGTTTGAAGACATTACTATTTACAGGAACACCAAAGAATCAATAAAGTGATGGATATTTATTGACTTGGAAACATTTGCATTAAGTATTTTTCAATGAATGAAGCAAGCTACAAAATAATATGCAAAGTATATGTGTGTACTTTGTGTAAAGTGTAATTTTATTACATAAAAGTAAGCTTATGTATTCTCAGGAAAATCTGCAGTGAGGTAACAAAAGTATGAAAGGTTACCAGTGATTACTCTGGGCACAGGAGAGATGTTTAAGTGTAATCTCCCCTCACCATACACAGAGCAAACTCTTACTGTTTCATAGAAAATTAAAATAGAGATTAGAGATGCAGCTTAGAGGTAAAGCACTTGCTTAGCCTATGTGAGGCCCTGAGTTTGACCTCTATCTCTGAAATGTAGTCATTAAAAATATAGAAGGGGACTGGGGATGTAGATCAATTGATAGAGTGTTTGCTTAGCATATACAAAGTCCTGGGTTCAGTTCCCACCACCATATAAACTGAGTGTGTTGGAACACCTGTAATCTCAGCATTCTGGAGGTAGGAGTAGGAGGATTAGATGTTCAAGGTCATCCTCAGCTACAAAGTGAGTTCTAGGCCAGCCTAGGCTACATGAGATACTGTCTTAAAAACAATCCTAGCCAGGCTCTGCTTCCAGTGAAGCCTGGCATCTACCTACAGTCGCCAAGTCCCAGGCTTTGTTCTCTGCCCCTGGATTCGGGCTCTTCCCCTTCAAGGGCTACCCTTCTCTTCCTCACACTATCTATGTGCCCATCTCACCTCTGTTCTCTGTGACCTGGATCTAGAAACTTCTCAGGCCTCTCTGTCATCTTCTCTGGGTTACCACTCCTATTTGGGCTGGGATGTGGAACTCCCCTCCCCTGTACCTTCCTAGGCAGAAAACTCTCCTGTAGTGAAGGTTTCCCCACCTTTTCTGTGAGCTAGTATTTCTCCACACCATCCTAACCCAGATGGGAGGATTCTAACTGCCACCCAACAATTCTCACTGTAGTAGGAGAAGAGGGACAACATACGCTACCATCCTGTAAGCTTTGTCTGCCCAGCCCTCCAAGTTTAATTAATCTGTAGCCCTCTTCACATTTCCCCCAAACTGTAGAAAGTGCTTGTGTTCCAAAGGTTCAGAAGTGGCCTGACAAGATTACCCCACTGAAGAATGTTTGTGGGAGAGTTTTCAGTCTGGTCTGGTTTTCTCTGCTACCAAGGCTGCTGCTGAGTGATGGCCCCCAGTTGTCCCCAGGTTGGGAAGACTCTGGCTCCCTTTGCCATTAGCTGACCAGGCTTTTCCTGGGTCCCTAGAAACTGACACTCTAGTGCCCCTTGTGTCTGATGGTGAGAGGGAAACACTGATCATTAATTTTCAGTTTTCAGTGACCTCGTAGCCATCGAACCAGATCCCTTAAAGGCTTTACAAGTGAGTGGCTTGTGGCACCATGGCTGTGTCTTGTGTCTGGACATTTGAGTTGGGGGGTCAGGAGAACTGAACCTGTCTCTCACCTGCTTAGTGACTGGACTATTTAACCTCCTGGGGTATTGATGTTCTTTATCTTTATGAATCTCCGTGTTTCCTTCCAGTTGAAGGGAACTGTGTTCTAGCTCTGACTCCTGGAGAGAGCTAGGCCAGGAGATGGTGCTGGCGAGGGAGGAGGTGGATGGAAATGTGTCTGATGGCTACCAGCAGTCAGCCTAGAAAAATAATGGAGCCCCTGGGGGTGGCTTGTTGCCTGGCCTGTTTATAGACATAATCCCTCCTCTTTGTACCTGGGACAGCCTTGAGCTAGGCTGCCATCTTCAATGCTCAGTGAGAAAGCCTAGAAAAGTCTAGAGTTAGAGCCTTCTAAACTAACACTCCAGAGGGTTTGAGGACCCCAGATAAGGGGGTAGAGACCTAGAAGTGACTAAGAGGATGACCTGCTGCCCTCTACCTGAGGACCTACCTTATTTGTCTCTGCCCCCGACTTCCTTTAGGAGGCAGTTTTCAGATATTGACTCTGGTAGGTATTGAATACCTACTTTGTGCCAGGATCTGTGCTCCATGGGGGGAGCTCCTTACTTGAAGGAAGCTCAAGCTTGTGTAGACGGTACCATGGAGATCTTGCCAAAATGCAGTTTTGAGCCAAAAGATCTCAATTGGTAATGGAGGTTTTATGTTTCTGTGATGTTCCTGGGTGATGCTGATGCTGCTGGTCACTTTGAGAACCACCAATCTAGAACACTGTTGTCTGTACCATATTAGTCTGGAGTTATCTGAGGCTAGAACTTGGATCTCTGGACCTGTGGTTATCAAAGTTTGGTTCCCAGAGCTGGGCATGGTGGTGCGGTGCTTTGAATTACAGCAGCAATGTGACTGAGGGAGGAGGATTGCCACCAGTTTGAAGTTAGCTTGGGTTACATAGTAAATTCAAAGTCAGCCTGGGCTATATAGGGAGACTGTCTCAGAAAGCCAAACA